CCTGCACCCCCCCCGTGGAGGAGAGGGGGAGGTGGGGGACAGCAGGAGGTGGCACAGTGGGCTGGCAGTCCCCTCTACGTGCGATTCAGCGTCTGGAAGATTCGGGAGATCTGGAGCATGACAGGCCCAGTCTCAGGGTCGTTCATCCACTGGGTGCTGTTCAAGGGGTTTTCAAGCATATCCTCGAAGGCTGCCAAGAAATTGCAAGTCAGTTAGTACTTTGGTCAAAGGCTTCAACGTTTGGGATGCTTCTACAAGAGGATGGGTAGAAATAGCTACAGCTCGAAGGTTGTGGGCAAGCATGACCCAAAAAGGATGAAGCCCTGACCATACAGGCACCATTTACACCCCACAGCCTGGGGTGCTGCAGGCTCTTGTGCTTCCCTCATTCCTCAGCATTAATCATTGCAGAGAGAGGCTGATTAAATGCTCAGCCTGGACTATGGTCCACCTCAGAACCTCAGGGACATGGGTTTGAAGAGCTGAAGCCTTAGCCAGTGTCCACAGGCAGTGGCAGGGAAGATGCTGTGGAACTCAGACATGTAGGAAAGGCCATCCTAGAACTGGGTCATTTCCTGCCAGTACTCCTAGGGGACTGCAACTCCACTGAATGATTTTCCACAGCCTAGATTTCTCAGCAGCTTGTTCTTGCACCAGCATCTTCTACCTCCCTGGTACTTAACCAGGCCAGTTGTTAGAAGGCACTGTCACACCCCTGCCTCTGTTGCCTTTGCCTTCCTGTGCTGCACTTGGGTTGTCCCATGGCTACTCTCTCAGAACATCTCTGAAGAGAAACCTATGCCAGCAAAATGAGCAGCAGGCATGCCAAAGGCTACCCAGGAAGGAGCAGCAGAGCCAGCAGAAGTGTAGCCCCTCAAGCCCCCAAATCTCTGAGCTCAAGCTTTTCACATAGAGAAGCTTTTCACAGAAGAAGCAGCATCTTCCCCCTGAGCTGCACGTGCTTCTCCTTCCTGGTGTCTGGAGAGTAAAGGACATAGGGAGGAGCCAGTTCCACCCACCTAGACACAGGCAGGAGGGGGAAGTCTCTCTGTGCAGAACAACTGCCTCCATGTCTGAACAGTGACAGGGAGCCAAGTACTTAAGAGCAGTTTTTTAATTTCTGTACACTGCTGCCTCTACAATAAGCTTTGATTGGTTTTAAATGTGTGAAGTTTTCACTCTTCTACTTACATTGAAGGAACCAGACAGATACTGCAAGGGCTAAGCTGTAAATCTGGCAGAAGGATGGCCCAGGCTGTGATTTATAAGCCTTGTGATGGACACTGATCTGGGCTACTGGACACCTGGAGCAGTCATTGCAGGACAAAAAGCAGTTGCACATCTGACCTCTTTGGAAGTCACCAAAAGGTCACTGTGTAAGAGCCTGGCAGAGCAGCACTGAGTGCAGGGTCCTCACTCCCCCAGGAGTGTTAGTGCACAAAGCTCCAGCTGACATTGGTGGGAGCTGTAAGGACCTGGCACCCCTGAAGGGCTCAAGGTCATGCAGCATATGCCTACAGAAAAGCCCAGAATAAACTCCACTTCTCACCTTCCACCACTTCAACTCTGTTTCTTTTGCACAGACTCAAAAGCCCAGAACTAAAGATTTATTAATGTTCTGCAAGCACCCAATTAAATGCAAGCAGTCATTACAGAAATCTGTGACACAAGCAATTTGCAGATGTATCATTAGGAATATATTCTCTGATGTTCATCCAAGCTTTACAGGCACATATAATGGCATTTCATTTTCTATTTATATTCTGAGCTGCAGTGAGGAGCCCTCATTGGAGATGAAGAGTCCATTTGTTCAGAAATCAGAGTGGGAAGGTTCTGCTCCTGAATGATTTAAAAGCTTGCAAACTCTCCTACTGACATTTAAAGCAGTATTTTTAAAAGCTCTCTTCACCCTTTATTTAAAAGCTTTGCTTCAAGTAAGTTTTGAAGCTAAAGACTAAACACAGAACTTTTTCTATCCACCCCAGAGCCAATGCCACTCTCCTGTACCCTCCTCCAGGGTCAGAGAGGCCAATTCAGCAGAGATTTGTGTTTCACAGCCAGGCTCTGGGGGTACTTGCTGTGCTCACAGCCTTTTTGACCAGGCAGATGTTACCACAGAGCCCAAACCCAAGCAAGGGGAAGTGTTTTTTCACACAAATCAGCTCAACTTTGATAGGCAAGGCCTTTGGCTCTGACTACTTGTTTGGCTACTCTTCCACAAGTTATCTTCCATCTCAGTGATCAGGCCTCAGCACACAGGAAGCTGTGCAGCAGGAGACAGCCTTGTTTTTTCTGCAAAATAATCAGAGTTCTAGACAGACATTCCTGATTTTTTTTTCCCCCCTCGTGGCCAAAGGGAGCACACAAAAGGTCTCCTAAATCCACAAAAGCATTTCAGCCAGCAGCTATTCAAGTTCTGAGTTCAGCAAGTGGAATCCAGTAGCCTGGGGAATTAGCAGCATTTCTGGGACAGCCCCAAGTTCTGTCCTGGGTTTAGCTGAGCTGCTGCATGAAGCAAACAAATGATGCAGCTGCTGACAGAGAGGGAAAGGGCAGAGAGCTGCACCCATCCCACAGAGCACACTGCCATCACCCAGTCTCTCATCTGCTAGCAATCACAGAACAGTCTCTACACATCAAGAACCCCCAAGCAGGACTTACCTAGTAGAGTTTTAGGGTTGGTTAGCCCTAACTGTACCACTGGGTTTTCTAAGATGGCTTGGAAGAGAGGGCTATTGGTGTCAATGCCCTTATCTAAGTCCTCTGGAGAAGGCTTTCTGTCTCCCAGCAGCCATTCACACTGAAAGAAATCACCAGGCACAACAAGTGTCACGATGGGTTCCACGAGGATCAAAGTGTCTCAAAAGTCCTGACAAGGTGGCATGGGAAAAACATTTTCTCCTCTCACAGTTAAAGAGTGAGCTGGACATTTATTTCACACTAGATCACTGTTCATTTGTGTCACTCCCACAGAGATGAACTTGTATGTCAGTGGGAACAGCAGCAGTGCCTGCTAATAAATTTATACCAGCTTCAGATGTGTCAGAGCTCAGGGAAGGTGTGTGGGATAACACATGTCCTGCCTCAGAGCAACCCATCAGCATGGTGACAGCACAGCAGCCTCAAGTACCATCCAGCCCAATACCAGTAGCCAGCAGTGGGTGCTTAAGAAGAGAAGGTTCCTTGGCTGGCAGCTTTACCCACATAATTTTCCTTAACCTCTCATCCCCTAGCAGGGGACTAATCCATCTCTGAAAAACCTTCAGTTCCATACTCTGGAATGTGCTGCTACAAAGTGGTAATTCACACACCGCATGGCTTGAACCTTTTGCTTGATGATTTATTCCTGTCCTTTAATGAGTTGTTAATTATTGGGAATGCCTTTTTCTTTCTCATGAAGTACAATCTCTTCTGCAGACTCTGGTGAGGGAGTTTCTCCAAAGCTTTTTGAAAATCCATATAAAACCAAGTTCAACCTCACACATGCTGAGTTCCTCCAAGCCTAAAACTTTTGTATTCTGGTTGTTCATCTAACATGAAAGAAGCCCAAAATATATAGCATCCACTTCATCAATGAGTTGTTAATTATTGGGAATGCCTTTTTCTTTCTCATGAAGTACAATCTCTTCTGCAGACTCTGGTGAGGGAGTTTCTCCAAAGCTTTCTGAAAATCCACATAAAACCAAGTTCAACCTCACACATGCTGAGTTTCTCCAAGCCTAAAAAACTTTTGTATTCTGGTTGTTCATCTAACATGAAAGAAGCCCAAAATAGCACTCACTTCATCTCCAGTAAGAGCTGGGCTTCATGATGGATTAAAACAACAATTCAATGATAAAAAAGATCAACTGAACAAACTATTAGAGCAATAATGAAGAGAAATGACATTGTACTCACAGCTGCATTCTGCTGGTTGTTGTTTACTCTCAGTGCATCTACCACTTCTTTTTCATCAAATCCCATCTCCATCAGGGCAATGACAGCCTGCATCAGATTTGCACAGCTTAAGTGTAACATTTAAAACAGGCATGAGAACCAGCATATCCTTTCACCTTCTCTGCAGGAGCTTTTTGTGGGGTAAACACCCCCAGTTGTTTCCATTTGCAGACCACGGTGTAATCCTAGCTACAAAGTTTTCACATCCCTATATCAGAAGTATCATTATTATGGAAGAATAAATGCTAAGAGTGAAGGTAGCTCCTGTCCTCCACACTGAAAGCTGAATGCAAGGCACAGAGCAGGAGTACCTGGGGTAGAAAGGAGAAGAGCAAGACAGAGAGAGGGGATTTTGGGACCTCTCTCCTGTCACAAAGCTTGTGTTCACATCTCCCTGACAGAGCAGGCTTCACACTCATTTCCAGTTCTAGTCACTCAATTTCACTTCCCAGATTTATTATGTTGCTAGTGAGTGTTATGTACCTAGACACTGTTTTGAGAATGTTTAATCATTTAGGAATTGTACCCAGGTCATCAAATGCATTTGCACCTTTTAACCAAAATCTCAAGGAACAGCCAGTTGCAAGTCCCAAGTGCCAGACTCTAAAGAGCACCTCCTGGGGAGTTTACAGTGGGATAACAGCACAGATTTTCACTTCAGCTAATACTGTGTTCTGAAAAAAAAAGCTAACCTGCATTTACTGCAGGTATGAAATCTGCTGGTATGTGCTTCTCCTTGCCCCCAAATACCAACACACTCTTCTGTCCTCTTCTACAGCAGAAGGACCCACTCCTGCCCTGCTGCCCTTCTTTCCTAGACAGCAGTCACAGAAAGCAATGCCAGGAGTCTGGCAGCTCATTTCAGCCCCACTGCTGAATTTTCAGGTGCAGAACTAAGTGGCAGTAATTTAGAGACTGATCTGTGACAGCACCACATTCATTTGTTAATATCCCTTCCAGCAACCTGAATTTAAACGGTCCCTAAAAGCTTCCACTAAAATACTGCCAAGCCAGCACAATATCCATCTCCCTAGATGTCCCATTTAATTTATTAACTAAACAGCTCCTTGGATCCCACAGTGCCCACACAGTCCCCTCCAATCCTAAGTTACAAGCTGAGATAAAGGGCACTCACTCGTGGGTCTGGACGAAACTCTCTTTTCCTCCGAATCTTCTTGAATATTTCTGTCAGCTCATCCTTGGCCTCCTCCTCCCCTGCTTCTGAACTGGGACCCGCCGTGGCCTCAGCAGAGGATGCAGCAGCTTCAGCTGTGGCTTCTGATGGAGTCTGACCTGGAAGTGGAGCATCCACAGCAGGGTCATCTGCGTGTTCTATCAGCCACTCCATGGCCTGCGTCACGGACATGCTGGAAAGCAAAGCAGAGAGGGGGGTGAGAACCACTCCAGGTATGCAGCAGTGCTCCCCACACCTCTGCCTCTGCATTTATTCCTGGCCTATACTGGCTTGCAGGTTGATTCCCATCTGAAAAGTCACCAATAATAAAGTTTTGGAGCAAATCTCAGAGCACTTGAACTCTGTGCATACCGGGCAGCACGATCTTCTCTGAAGGCAGGAGGACAGAGGGGTGAGGTCCAGCTTGGACAGCTGTGCCCCACAGTTTGAAAGGCATTGCTGAGGGAGTCACCTTTCTCTCCACAACGTCTGCTCACTGCTGCGGGAGACACCTTTCTCTCCACAACGTCTGCTTTATCTCCCAACAGAGAAATGCTGACTACTTGCAACTGTTGACAACACTGCAAACTAAGCATGTTCCAAATCTACATGGAACTATCATGGACACAAGCTGCTCTGCTGCTTAAGGAGATCTCTGACATCCACCCAGTGATCCAGGAATGACATCATCACCACAAGGAAGAGGGTGAAAAACACTATGTGCACAATATGCCTTCAATAAGAGTAAAGCTCAGCACAGGCAGCTGCACTTGGAGAGGTACCATTCTGTTCTTCCTCCAGCCTGGCTTAAGAACTGTGATCCCCCCAAAGGAGAGGCCAGCCCAAGGGAACAGAACATCAGGATCATAACATGGTCACCTGCTATGAAGTGAAGGGCTCAAGCTAAAGGGATCTTGAGGGCCTCAAAACTGCTTCTTCCTCTGTGCTCATTGGGAAGAGACATAACAACAAGAGGGCAACTGAACAAGTCATTTCCTTGGACACAGGGGAATTGTTTCATGCTCTCAGCAAGGAAAGCCTTTGCCTACTTGGCTCTTCAGTCACAACACTGAGGACAGAGGACACGAAGGGAGAAAGTCCTTCTGGGCTCCAAGGGAGAGATACTGGAAAAGGAGGACTGAGATACGTTGTGTATTCTCTATCTCATATTAGAGATTTTTGAGAGTGACCTAACAAACCCCTCTCAGGAGTGAGGCAGTGCAACTGATTCTCCTTAGGGCATGAGAAGAACTACATCACTTCCCATTCCCCTACAGCTGCTACCTGGACACCTCAATATCCTTGGAATGTTTCTAAAAGATCACCACCAAGTATCTTTCTACAGCTGAAAGACCAATGTGGATGGGCTAGGTTTGCTTTTGCCTCTAAAATCTGAATTCTAAAGTGGAGGAAAACATGAGTTTAATACCTGAAAACAATGCCAGCCTTGTGAACCACAGAGCAGCACCACTTTCCAGAGCAAGCACAGCACTGCTGCCCCTGCCCAGTGCCACCCTCACCTGCACGCTGCCCCAGGCAGTGCTGTTCTCTTAGGTACTGCTTTTTCCAACCTAGTTTTAAGTGACCCACATAAGGAGACTAAGAAAAAAGCAGCAATTTTTTTTTAACCCTATGAAGTAATCTGCAGGCAGTGTGCTGGGTACACTTACTGGTTTAACCGAAGGGCTTTGACAGCTCTGCTTTCTGGAAAGCCCATTTCTGTGAGCTGCCGCAGGGCGATCTCATCCACTCTGTCCTCCTCATCCTCATCCAGCATGGCTACACACACAAACAGAACAATGTTCAGACTGGCTCCAGGCTAAAAATAAACCCCCTTTCTCAATGGAACAGCATGTGTTAAGTTCAAACCCCATTCTTCTCTTCCATCCCTTTTGTTTCCACCCCAAATCTGCCATCTCATCATTTAATTTGCTGCACTCAGCTTGGCCTGGCTCAGATAGGTTCTTCCAGGACAAAGACTTTGTCCAGAAGTGTTCAAGATCTCAAATAGAAATAGCTAACTCTCACATGACCATGGTATTTCCACATAAATATATAGGAGACTCACTGAAGAGCTATTTATCATTTACCTAGAAAGCAAGTTGGATCTGCTTGTAGCAGATCTCCAGGCCAAGCACATCCCACAAACTGACCCAGCAGCTATGCTTTCCCCTCATTTTACCATCCCCCTGTGCATTTTCAACTGTTCTTTACCATCCCTAAAGTGCAACTCATGAAGCTTGCCAATTTTTTCACTACTAATTTTATTTTAAAATAGAACTTCCCCTAAGTTTTATACAACTCTACATCCACAAGGAGAAATCTTTGCCACAAAGTTTGTAGTGGCTTTGCTGTTACATCAAAGTCTGGACTTGGCTCTGAGAGCCAACTCTTCTGCTACAAAAGCAAACATGTTCCCAGGGCTGAACTAGAAACTGTAAAGATAAGTTCATACCATTTGCTTTCTTAAATAGTTCAACTGCATCTGGGTTCAGTGCTAATAATTTCTGTGCAACTTCTATGAGAGACACCAAGATCTTCCGGAGCTCTGTCTGGAACTGCAAGAAAGGAAACTGTCAAAACATTTAGACAGGAAGTTACCAGATATCATTGAATCTTAATAGAGCTATTGTTAGTGTCTCAGCAGTAGTCGGGCCCCCTGTACAGAACGTTGCTTTATTAGGGCTTTATTTTAATTGTTTAGCCTCTCAACAGGCACTGGGCCCTTGCTGTGAAGTGTTGCATGTAAGTAAAAGCTACTGGGCAGAAAGGTTCTTTTATTTCTCCCACAGCCTGCTGCCCAGTACACCACAAGCTGTGCAGTGTCCAGGAAAACTCACTGCTTCACAGAAACACTGACTCCCATCTTGCAGAGGTGTTGTAAGGAGACAGTCAGAGCAGCTCCACAGCAGTGCTGCTTGCTTTTGGGAACCAACAAACCTTCCTGGTCTACTCTCTGATTTCTAGTAAGCTAAATTTGAACAACGTAGATCAAAGCTCTTTTCTAAACTGAAGCATCACAAATTCCTTTCAGTTGGACATTTGGTTTTCAATATGCTGTGCTCAGTGGCTCATGTTGGCCAGTAAACAGCTTAAATGCCAGCTGGCCCCTTTGGGTCACTGGGCATGCTGACAAAATGCAAGGTGGAGGCAGATTCACTGCTTCATACCCTGACCAGTACAGATGAGTACAAGTAGTGCTTACATGCTGGAGAGACAGCTAGAAGCACTACAGACTATCAGCATTCTATTAATTAAGTCAAAATTTATGCTTAATTTCTCTGTTCAAAACCACAGGAGAAGAAAAAACCCACTGCAAGCACTTAACTATTTAAGGCCAAAGAAATAAACCCCTTAACTTCACATCTGCCAGATGTCAAATACATTTACTGAGGCTTCCCTGTGGGCAAGTAGAACCTTTAACATCATAATTTAAAACTTGTTATCCCTAAATAGTATGACCTGCGTCTGAATCTTAAGGTATCTACTTGAATACACTTTAAACACATCTTAATTTCTCTTCTAGAGAAAAGAGAATCACATTCATTTGTAAGAGAGAAGGTTATACAAGATAAAGCCCACTCAGATGTTGCAGTGTGGGTCCAAGTCAAGCCCAACACTTACATCCCTCATGTTGTGATGGGCCACGCTGCGATCCGCGTTGCGAGGGGGCAGGTTTGCAGTTGCTTTGAGGATGGCCTCTTTATCTGGAGCTTTCTGCTCTTGTTTCCTCTAAAGGATAAGAAACATCATCAGGATTCATAAGCCATTACCCACAGAACAAAGAACGTGGCATAGCAGAGCAGTTTCAGGTTCTTCACCAAGGTATCAGGCAGTGCTCTGTGAGTGGCAGCTGAGAGAAGCTGCAGTCCAGCAAAACGAGGGACAGAGACACAACAGTACCTACAGGAAGGGACACAGACACACACCAGTACCTACAGGAAGGGACACAGACACACACCAGTACCTACAGGAAGCAAGAAGAAACAAAGCTGTGCAAGAATGAAGGAGGGACACCCAGAAATTCACCACACCAAGCACAAGTGTTGCTCCAAGTGTTGATGTGGTAACACCATCTGCAGTACCACTCGTGCAGAAGCACCATCCTGGGCATCATGGACCTTCAGTAACAACTGCATCCCAATAAGGTAAAATACATTAAAAAATAGAATAGAAGGAGACCAAAACTTCAGCTCTAGAGCCCTGTTCAGAGGGTGACAAGCCATGCACAGATTAAAGACAGAAGACAGCCCGACAGCAAATGAACACATTTCTGCTGGGTTTTCAAACAGGGACAAAGCTGAACTTGCTGAGCTAGGCTCACACAGTGACAAGCCATTTGTTCAGAGATCACATCTATGCTATGTCCACTGAATCTGTGTCTCTTATCCCAAGGCAAACGTTCTCACAATCAGAGGTAAAAAACAGTAAATCACCTTCCTCAAAGTCTGGAAGAAATATGAAATAATTTCCCTAGAGTTTAACTGGCAACATTTGCCTCTATGAACAAAGAGCACACCAGTCATCCTTCCACAGCTCATTAGTAAAGCAGTTAATCAAAACAGCTAAGCCAAGAAGTCTTTCAGACTCACTTTCTCCTCTGCAGACACGTCTGACATTTTGGGGAGCGGAGGTGGCGCACGCTTCTTTATCAAAAGCAAGACATCTAGGAAGAGAAAAACACCAAGATTCATTAGAATAGAGGGAGAAAACAGCTCTTGGAAGGTGCTACACAAATTCAGTCTTCCTTGGAGATGATTTTTATATTCATTCCACTGGAGCATCAGACCTTTTTCACACTTTAAAGCCTCTGCAGCTTTACACGCTCCCCTTCAGCGTTTGCAGTTCCTTGGTGGCTTCACACCAGTTCATTCTTAGTTAGACTGGTTGCTACTGGTTTCTTCTCCTCACACACACCATTGAAGAAAAGGTACTGCAGCCTCCCATTGTCTTGTACATTAACAGGACAGCAGTTGGCTCATGATGATAAGAAAGCATCGGAACTTCCAGTGCTTCCACGGAGAGAAAGCAGCAGAGGCAGGCAACAGATGGTTTTTGGTCTAAGCTGGGGCCTTCCCTCAGCCAGAGCACAGGAAGCACCAATGTTCAACAAGAACTCCCAGTGCCAGGCTGGAGTCACCTCTGTGTGTGAATGGCAGCAGAGTGAGCTCCAGCCCACACCAGGGGCACATCCCTGGTAGCCCACCAGGACAAGTCTTGAGGGGAAACAAGTCTTCAGTCTCTAGGAGACTGCTTTGTGCTTTTCAGACTAATACTTTCCCCTCACAAGGCACCCTTCTCCCAGAGATCTCAATGCTTTACAGGTTTCTAACACCTCCAACCACACACCTTCAAAGGCCTCAGAGGGGCCTGTGCAGCACCTGCAGCCCCTCAGCCAGAAAGGGCCTGACCTGCAGCTTTTAGCCCATGGCATGAAGCAGCCAAAACACAAAGTGTGCTTTGCACAGCAGCTTTCCTTGGCCTGGCCCAGCACCTCAGGGCTGAGAGCAGCAGCTGGTGCAGGCTCTTAACCCTTGTTTGTCCAGCTGGTGTGAGGCTGAGAGGATCCACATGGGCTCTACTGTTTGGCTCCTGCAAACTGCAATTCAAAACTCTGCAGGAGCTGGCACCTCGCCTAGGAATAACCCCACCAGCCCCTTGGCACTGCCCAGCTCCTCTTGGGCTCCTTTGGAAGGGGATATTGACCTGCAAGAGACCCCAAACCACTTGTCTTCACACAGCAGCTCTCCAGCCTGCAGGAACTCTGGCAAAAACCCTGCCAGGCTGCTGACTCAGACTATTTCACTCTACAGCAGTCCTGCTTCTCCCACTTTCTGCACACTTTTATCTCCAGAAGGGGCCATCAGCTGAAGCTCTCTAGTGAAAACTGACTCCACCTCTCATCTTTAGATCTTCTTTTGTTTCACATTAATCCTTTACACCTTTGAAGTTCAGGAGCCAATACATACCTCTCATGCTCTGCTGTGGGCAGGGATACCACAGTGCACTGATCCTGACCTATCTTTGCAGAGGACAGAAGGAGATCCAAACTGCAGACCCTCAGACACCCTTCAGTGACCATCCTTCTGCTTGGCCTGGAGACCTCAAGAAACCCCCCAAAAGCACTGGCTTGTCTATCTTGGAATATTCAGCCATGATAACTACTTTTGAATCATTTTGAAGCACAAATGCTGTCCTGGAGGTTTAAAAAAATTCCTTTAGAAGGAGATAAAAAGAATATGTTTAACTTGTTGACTTAATGAACACTCCTAATTCCTTTTCAGCTCTTAAAAGAGTGAAGAAAAACTGCTCAGGGTGGTTTCACTGGGGAAAAAAAAAAGTCTTTTTTTCCCTCTTCTTCCTTTTTTGACATCTTATTAGTTAAGTCAGGGCAGAAAGTAGCTATTAAAAAGTTAATGTTTGGAACTTGCCAAATAGTTAAATACAATCTCATGTTTCCAGGCTGACAGGATTAAAAAACAGCCCCCCTTACCTCTATCCTGAATGTTCTCCTCCAACACTGTTTTAGTGTCTGTCAGCACCTTCTCGGAGGTGGCGTGGATCAGCTTGTGATGTGTCACTGTTTTTGGGTCCTCCAAGCTCCCAGGGACACACTGCAGGAGAGAAGAAATATTGAGGATGAGAAGACAGGAATAAGCCTACTGCATGAATCACTGGGCTTTGCACTTAAGATTCTCCATGTACAAGTTGGGCCATCATTTAGCAGCTTAAGTAACTGCACGTGCCAGGGGCTGGTGCACAGGATGTGTTTTACCAGTGCCACTGGGGCTGGATTTGTGCTGCAACACCACTGACAGGGGTAAGGTTTCCACCTGCATATCCAAGCTCCTGGTTGGGAAGAAAAAAAATCAACCAAAGGAAGGATTCTACCCTTCTTTCCTCAATGCTGTTAAACTAGTAGCTATATTGAAGTTCCAACTGGCTATGATTCTCTAAAAAACACCTTTCAACAGCCAGTTTCAAGGACCTGACAGGGCAGCCTGATCCCCCCCAAAGGTGGATTTAGACTTTTGCAGCACAGTGCCACCTCCACCACACTTCAATTCTGAGTGCTTGGTCCTACACTCAGGCCCATGGAGACCTGGAGCAAAGCAAGGATGCCCCAGGACCTCCAGCTACCTTCATTCTGCAACAGACCACTGAGGGCACCCCACTCCTCAGGAGAGGTCTGAGGGTAGCAATTGGTATCACAAATTAAGAAGGCAAATGTACAAAGAGCATCCAGTGTTTCTGCAGAGGGCAAGGCTATAATAACACAGTGTGTTTCTCATTTGTAACTGGTGTCAGAACAGAGGAGAGACTCTGCTTCATCTGCTAATTATTATTTACACACGTCATCAGACTAAACAAGCAACTGCCAGCAGTGACTTGGGTTTACTTGACTTTAAACTGGGAAGGAAACAAGTTTCTGCACCTCCTTTCAAGCTGAAAACAACAAATTCAGCCACTGGAGCCTGGGGAGTTCCGGCTGAAAGTGCCAAACAAAAATTACATCCACAACTTTTCTCCTCAGCCATAATCAGTGTATAGTAGATTTTTTTTCACATCTGAATGTTGTGCTCAGCTCCTTACTACAACTCTAAAATGTATGCCAATTAATTCACTACAAAAATTACATCCACAGCTCTTCTCCCCAGCCATAAATAACCAGTGTACAGTAGATTTTTTTTCATATATGAATGTTGTTCTAAGTTCCTTACTACAACTCTAAAATGTATGCCAATTAATTCACTAGGAAATCAAGTTCAGACCTTGAAAAAAGAGCATGTGCACACACAGGCCTTGAACCAACCCATCTTCAGAGTGGCCCCCAGCTCCACAGGGAGAGTTCAAGAACATTCCATCAGTCCATCTAGAGGCTTCCAAGTCATTTGAGTGGAAAAAGAGAGCAGAGTGGCTCCAAATCCAGAAGGCAAACTTAAAAATAACCCACCAAACCCTCAAAACTGCTGCTCCCAACACAGACCAGGAGACTCAGCAGTGACCTCACAGCTCTGCTCACAGAACAGCTTTTGAGGATGCCTCTACCAAGGCACTTTCAGGGTGTCTGCAGAGGAGTGTGCACCCCACTGGAAACCCAACCAGTGCTTCACTCTGACACTGCATTCAGCCCTCCTCAGCACACTATCTCCCACCAGCCTCCTCCACAGGATCCCCTCAGTCCAGCACCACCCTCCCTGCTGTGCCTGCAGCTGATGGAGAACCTGCTCTGTTCCCAAATCCACTGCTCTTGTTCTCAACACGGGTCTCCAGTTCCTCCCCTGAGCTTCCACACACTTCTGATGCCTCCAGAAGACTGAGGTGAGAAGGTTTGAGTCCTGCTTTGTATCACAGCAGCTTCTTACTAATCCTTCAGCATATTAACTGCTGAACAAAAGCCAAGGAATGCATTAAAGCCTGGAAGCTGCTGGGAGTACCTCCTGTAATTGATCTCATTAGCTCCCCAAAACACCCCAGAGTCCATCAGTGGAACATCTCTCTGAACAAGCTCCAAAGATTCCTGTTACAGACCCCAAAAGGAAGAAATTGGAAATGGGAAATGGGAAGTGTTTTTTTTGGGGTGGAATGGGATACAACAGACCAATGACCCATTTCTAGCACCTACAGGAGGGGTGCATGTGGGTGTGTAATCCTAGGACTAACAAGGTGAAGGTATAAGTGATAAAATGAAAGTTGCTGTGGTAAAAGGGAAGTCCTGGGGACTCCTGTTCTCACTTCTGGTTCCTCTAGCTACTTATATTAACAACTGCATTGAACAGCAAGGCTTATATGGGCTGTACAGAGATCAGAGAGACTCTTCAGTGAAATATTTGGCTTATCTTAACTAGAAAAACCATCTGAAGAGGCAAAGCCTCTGCTGGCTCTCAACAGCCCCCCAGGAGCTGCCAGCCCTGAGCAGCAGGTCTCACTGTGGAACCCTGCTCCACCAGGAGCACATCTGCCAGAACACAGGACTGTTCTTAGCCACAGTGCCTTGAAGTGGCACTGAAACAGCTCCCTGCCCAGAGAGCAGCACTGGGCATCACAGGGGAGAGTTCCCTGCACAGTGCTGGGGAAGCAAGCCAAGAAATGGGGTGAAATCAGGCAGCTGGGGTGCACCCTGAAGCCTTGGGGCACATCTGGGGCCACCAAGCACTGCTCCAGAGCAGCCAGAGGTGCTGCATGCAGGGGAAGAGCTGGCTCTCTCAGCTTTTTGGCACAGCAGGATTGTAAGGAGAGGATCTGCTGCTTCTTTGGTTCTCTCCCAGCACAAATATTTGCCTTTCTTTCTAAGGCTGGAGTTTGTGCAGGCTGCTGTGCCAGGCAGGTGAGAAACCCCTGTGCCTCAGGAGCTGCTGCAGTGGGAGCCCTGCTGATGTTCTTTGTAAGGCAGCCTGATGAACCACAAGGGTTTCTCTTTGGTTTTATAATAAGAAAAAGCTTTTTTTTGTTTGCTTTTATTAACAGGAACATCTGAAAATAGCACTGACACTCCTTACTACTAAACTGGGGTGGCTTAAACCTTCTGCATCCCTCCAAAAGTATCAAAACCATGCCTGGGGCACAAACCTCCCTCATCTGAGAACTAGCACCTTGTGCCTCTGCTCCACAGACACTCCTCCTCCTACCTCACAGCCCAGGTATCACTGAGGCAGCTTCAGGGGAACAGAAGCAGCATCTGACAGAGCTTGTGGACAAGTGACTGTTCCAAGAGAACATTTTGATGGTGAAACTGGAGTTCAGAAATATCTAAGAAGGGAAACCCCTTATTACCAGGGGTCTGTACACAGAGGGCATGACTGAAGGCAACTGTTTAACATGTAATTACCACTGAGATGCTGCAGGTCAAGAGACAAAACTAGTGGGAGGGGTTTTTATCTTTAACAACCACCCAAAAATCTATAAAATTCAGAAACAAAAAGGTATCAAGAGTGCCCCCTCAGATCAGCAAGAACTTAAATGTTATGGGAGGAGAAACAGCCCCTTCTTTGTTCAAATCTCTGCAAATATCTTCCTCTGTCCTGAAAGAAGGATTTCAGAGGCTTTAGGGAACATCACAATCAGCACCTGACAAGAGATGGCTGCACAAACCATCTCAAGGTGCTCTGAAGATTCCCTGCAACACACCCACAACCAGGAGTCAGGATTTTGCCATTTCTCCCTTTCCCCTCTGTAAAACTTTACCTGACCCATACTGGTTCTGCAAACCCACAGCATTTAGCAGAAAGCAGCAGAGAGAAGGAACTCAAACATCAGAGCAATTTATCAGCTGTGTCCTGCCCTGGCTCCCACTGCAATGGGAGCACCTGCCCCCATTAAGCTGCCTGATAATTAAAGGCCTTCCAGCTCTGCAAGGTACTCACCACCTCACCCTGTTTTGGCAGCCTCTGCCCCACTCTTCTGCCTAAGCTCTGAGCTGGGCTGGAGGGGGGTGAGGGGAGCACTAAACTTCTTCCAGAAATGGAAGTGTGTGCCCTGAACCCCACTGCTTCCAGCCAGGCACCCCCATTTTCCCCTCAAGAAGGGTCACACCTACCTCAGGCAAAGCAGATCCAAACATAGCCTCTCTCATCCCTCAATCAAACAGGGCTTACAAAGACTACAAGGCAAAAAAAACCCAACCCCAAACCTGTCTGCTGCAACCTGTAGCTTCCAAGGGATTCGAGCTGAAAGCAAAGAACCATCAGGGCAACACCCAGCCTGCTAGTCACCTTGACTCCACAGCACCCTCACTCAGCAAATAAAACCTTCTACCCTTCAAAGAGGGGTTAAACAACTCCACGTTACACATGTCCTCCTACTGCAACTGTGGCTGATGAACAAACAGCTTTGCAAGACT